GGATCAGACCATTGTGATCTACTCTGATGTTATTCTCATCTTTTCTGAAAACCAGATCTTCCACAACCAAGACATGCACCTTTATACTAAACTAGAGAAGTCTGAATTTGACTAGAGCACAATCAAGTTCTTAGTAGCGATGTAAAATCCGGATTAATCCATTAACTGGTTAAGAGTTAGGATAGTATAATGTGTAACCAGTTAATCAGCTAAGCAGGATCCCGGGTGGGGGACTGCTCTAGTCCAGTTGCAGCAGTCCCCAGCCTGTGGGGTTTCTGTTCCCAGCCCTAGACTGGCCTCACAGGGATAGCTCCTGGCCTCTGCCGTGTTGTACTGTCTGCCACCTGCTGCCCCCGATCCCTAGCCAAGTGAGTTTAGCCCAGCCAGTGGGGCAGGGTGGGCTGCTGGCTCCCGACTCCCAGCCCCAGTCACGTGGGGTGGGCTTGCAGTGTGCAGGCTGCAGGTGGGTAAGTGTAGGATGATGCTCAACAGGTAACAGATTACTGTTCACATCCCTAGCTCTTAGGGTACACCATTTTGCCTGAAGGGCTGACTATGGAACCATGTGAGGTATTTGCCACCTCCAAGTGGGAAGTTCCAAGGAATAAGTGAGAGGTATAACAATTCCTTGATTTTTACCAATTTTTGCCAATGCTTTAACAAGGGGGTATTTCCACTAAAAGCACGAGTGGAGTTGATTATGTGACCCATTTGTTGTGACAGCGTGGCTCCAATGGTGAAATCAGATGCCTTGGCCTCCACAGTGAAATTACCTGGGATCTGGATGGACAAGGATGGCAAGCCATAGTGAAAGCCCTCTTTAGTTTGTCAAAGGCACATTGAGCCTCAGGAGAACAGACAAATAGTTTTTCCTTCTGGAAGAGCACCCAGATAGGCTGTGTCTACACTACATGCCTCTGTCGGCAGAGGCATGTAGATTAGGGTTGTAGGCAAAGGTAAATGAAGCCGCGATTTAAATGATCGCGGCTTCATTTACATTTACATAGCTGCCGCGCTGAGCCGACAAACAGCTGATCAGCTGTTTGTCGGCTCAGCGCGGCAGCTATGTAAATGTAAATGAAGCCGCGATCATTTAAATCGCGGCTTCATTTACCTTTGCCTACAACCCTAATCTACATGCCTCTGCCGACAGAGGCATGTAGTGTAGACACAGCCTATCTGGGTGCTCTTCCAGAAGGAAAAACTATTTGTCTGTTCTCCTGAGGCTCAATGTGCCTTTGACAAACTAAAGAGGGCTTTCACTATGGCTTGCCATCCTTGTCCATCCAGATCCCAGGTAATTTCACTGTGGAGGCCAAGGCATCTGATTTCACCATTGGAGCCACGCTGTCACAACAAATGGGTCACATAATCAACTCCACTCGTGCTTTTATTCACACAAGCCAGCTTCTGCAGAAGGGCATGACAACATTTGGTAATTAAAGCAGCCTTTGGCGAGGGGTGTCACCTGATCAGGTCCCTCCTGATCACAAGAACTTGGAATATTTCTGTATGACTCAAAACTTAAAACAGTGTCAAATCTCCTGGTCACTATTTTTTGCACAGTCTGAGGTGGACTTACTACCCCGTGAGCCAGTAGAGAATCTCTACTATGTGACCAGCTCTACCATGGCATTCCACTGAATTCATCCAGAGAAACCTAGGCCTCTGGAAGAAACCTTTGAAAGGAGTGTATCACCAGTCAGACATTCCCGATGGGTTCCTGACAGATGTTCTGCTCTGTCAATGATAAACTTTCAGCTGCGTGCATACGTGTGTGTGCTCCCCATCTACCATGTTAACTATACACAATTAGTGATCAAGACAGACTCCAAGAGAGCCCCCAAAAGACCACAAAATCAGATAAGGATCAAAGGCATCAGACAAGGTTTATTGTCAAGTGAAGTACAGTCACAATTGTTAGCAAACAGACTCACTGCTAAGCCCTTAGGCATATGCACCCTGTGACAATGGGATAGCTCAGTCAATACTATGGATCCAGTATTGTCCCCTTGGCTAGACAAAGACAGTTCTTTGGGGTGCACTTTTATACACAGGTACAAACATGTTACACATCACTCCTGACGTATCAGGTTGTTGCCCTCTGTTGCCTAGTTACCACCTCACACAAGGGGAGGGGCTCAATTACTATCCATCATGCTGTCAATTCAGACCCTGTCCAGAACCCAGATGGGTGTTTGTGGGGAGGCAGTTGGTTCCAAAGTGTTTCTTAACCAAGTATTCTGTTACGACCCCCATGGAATGTGTTTTACAGTCAATGCCTGACACCCTTTGGCGTTCTTTATGCTTGACCCTGTTGGCACTATTTCCTGTTAGCCAGGTCTATTTCCTGCTTGCAGTTTCACTGAGCAAAAGTTTTGCTCATTATTTTCAGGCCTGTGATATGTTATTTTATGTTACAGACCTTCATCTTACTACAGAGGGCACCGTCAGGACTGAGATTCTTCCGTTGACACTGATGGTTAGCCAGCCTAGCCTCCAGGCAGATTAATGAGCTCCGCTGGGATGCGGTAGGACAGTCTGATTGGCTGGCTGGAGAGAACCAACAGGCCTCCTCCTGAGCTCAGCATCAGCAGATTGCTGGCTACTCAATGATTATCTCTGCAGCCGCAATCACGCCTGTGCCCACCTTGCTCCAGCCTTGTTCCTGTTCAACTCTACTTGGTTCCAGTCCCGCTTCCTTGTGACTCCATCTCTGACCTCGGTGTGACTCCTGGCTCCGACTTAGGTTCCTGGCTCTGAAGTCCTGCTCCAACCACCAGGCATGACTCCTGCTCTAGCCATTAGGCATGACCACCCATGTCCTGCCATGACATATAGGCCACTGTAGTCTCTCAGTACAAGTGGCCAGTCTTTTATTGGACTGCCCAACATACCCAACTTATCCAAACAGTCAGACACTCTTTAATTTTTCTCTTAGTGAGCTATTTGTTCCCTGTCTGCGGTGTCCTTTACACTTTCACTCCATCTCTACACTCACCGTCTAGGACACAGCAAACAGCAGGTGTGATTCCCCACTTAGCGAGATGTACACAGAGGTGAGCTAGCATGCTAAAAATAGCACTTTGGCAGTAGAGGTTGAGCAGCAGCTGGGGCTAGCTACCCAAGGATCAGCCTATCTGCCCACCGGAGCATGGATTCAGGCAGCTATTTAACCAGGAGATCAGCATTTTATCATAAAGGCCCCTAGGGGAAGCAGAGGGTGCAATGGCACCAGTACTTACACTTTCCTCCACTCTGCTGCTATGCCTCTTGGGGAAATTCATGCCTGATCCCTTGTGAGCATCATGGCACATCTTGTAACAGCATGAGTTTTACCCCAGAGTCTTACTCAAATTTGATGTATGTGGAACGCAGTCTTCCACTCACCCAACACTGCTCTACGCTTCCTCTTAGCAGTGCTATCCCTGGCTCCCAAGCCTCTTTGCAGTGCATTGTTAGAGGGACATTCTGCCCAGAGGTGGCTGCACCTCCTCTCCCCCTGCCCCTAGTCACCCTGAATTGGAGGACACATGCACTGGCAAACAGAAAAGTCCTGGAGGATGGGACTAAGCCAGTGGAGTGAAGTCTGCTAAAAGTGGCCATTATTATAAACCTGTTTGCAATTACCCAGAGTTTTCAGAAGTCTTCACCTTTTTGGTTGAAATTTTCCAGGCTGTCTGTGTCTGAGGTTGAAAATGTTTGGAAAGTGTCTGCAAAAGTAGTTCAGTCATAGCAGAGAATGAGGAAGAATATACTCCCCTGCTGTGGAAACATTTTACATTGATTTTAAACAGCTTTAGAGATGGGTGGGAGGGAATGCGCCAAGTGGGGGCCCTGGCTGAGCAGCAGATGGGAAGAGGAGGGGTGAAGGGGCTAGCGTCCTGGCTGAGTGAACATGCTCCTATTCAAACAGGATTCTTTTTTCATGGATTCACAGATTTCAAGGCCAGAAGTGCCCATCCTGATCATCCTGTCTGGCCTTCTGGGTTTATAGGCCAGAGAACCCACCCAGGGATTCTTCTGTCCAGCCCAAGAACCTCTGTTTGAACCACAGCAGATCTTTAGAAAGAAACCCCCAGTCCTGATGGAAGGGCTCCCAGTTACACACAGGCCCTCGTAACTGGGTAATTGTTTCAATGTTCACTTCCCCTCACTGTGCCGTGTTTCAGTTCTGGATTTGCCTAGCATGAGCTACCAGCCATCAGATCCCACTCTGCCCTATCTGCCGGATTAATGCCAGCTCCCTTCTCTCTGTGCGAACTGGCCACGGGACTGATCTCTGAGCATTTGGCAAGCACATTGCACAGTCCTCCCATGCAGATTTCTCATTGATCTGGTTCTGTGCCCTCTATGGCTGGCTGCTTTGAGAGTTAGTTTAGGAACAGGCACACTCACTCCCTTGGCACTTTGAATGGTGCCATTTCCCAATACGTCAGGGAACAACCTGATCTAGTTAAAGGGATCTTGCTTCTGCTGGCAATGCTGTATTTTCCCCTTCCTGCTCCAAAAAATGCACCACGCACCTAGGGGCATGAGCCAGAGGCTGAGCGTGCTCGTATAGGGAGGATCTCAAAACCCTTTACAGCCACCCAGACACCCCTCCCACCCCGCCCAGCCTGCAGATGGTGATGCTGAGACACAGAACATCAATGAGACCACTGGCATAGACCAGGATAAACAGCTTATCTTCCTTGGAAATTGGAGTTTTGTTTAGGCTGATTTCTCCACTTTTTTTTCCCCACTCCAGCACTGGGTGAGACCTGTCTAAGGGCATGGAGTCAGCACTGGGCCAAGATTTAGCCCCTGCAACTCCTGATCCCCAGTGCTGCACTTTGACCACATGGGACAGAGCCTCCCCCGGCAGCCAGAGCTGGCATTTGAGGTGGAGTGGCCAGTGCCTAAGGCAAGTGATAAGGCACCTGGCAGCTTAGACAACAGTGGCCCAGGAAGGCCACATGCTGGGCTTTCAGTGTGGAAGCAAAGGCACAGACACTTACCCCTGAGCTTCCTCCTTCTTGCGACAGACACAGCAGCAGCAGAGTAGCGAGAGGAGGAGGATGAGTAGCAAAGCCAGCAGGGCCCCCGCTGCGATCACTCCCATCCGCTGATTGGCCTCTGAAAAGGGACATGAGATACCCATTAACACACTGCCCTGGGGAGCCAGTTGCCCATCCCACTCCCAAGGAAAGACGCACAAAGAGGAGTAGCACAGCCAAAGCGATGAGCCAGCTGCATCCTGAGTGGATGCAAAAAATATTAATTTAATACATTTTAAATCCTGGGAAAGGGGGACCATTGTGATCATCTAGCCTGACCGCCAGAGAATCCATCTAGAAGGTTAGATGCCTGGTACCGACTGTAACTCAGGCACTGACATCCTTTGAAAAATCCCAGTTAAAGTTTCCAAGTGATAGATAATCCACTACATCTCTAGATATCCTCACTGTTAAAAATAGGTCACTTATTTCTAGTCTGATTTGTGCCATCTGCAACTTCCACCTGTGAGATCTTGTTCTGCTTTTGTCACACAGATAGTTCAGAGAGTCCACAAGCATCCCTTACAATCATCTAGTCCAATTTCTTGTTTCAGATGGGCTAGGTAACTGCCCCAAAATAATGCCCAGAGCAGAGCTTCTAGAAAAAAAATCCATCACTACCCTCGAGTCCTTCATCCTGTAAAGTATGGCCTATGTTCTTTGTCCGTATACATTTACATTTAACCACATTAAAATGCATATTGTTTGCTTAGCTCAGTTTCCCAACAGATCCAGATTGCTCTGAATCAGTGGCCAGTTTTTTGTTACCTCTCCCCAAATTGGTACCATTTGCAAACGTTATCAGTGAGGATTTTATACTTTTCTTCCAGAGAACTTATAAAGCTGCTAAGTAGTGTAGGGGCAAGACCTGATCCTTGTGGCACCCCACTGGATACACATCCATTCAATGACAATTCCCTGTTTATAGTTAATCTGAGATTATTCAATTAGCCATCTTTTAATCCATCTAATATGTGCCATGTTAATTTTACATACTTCTAGGGGCACCAAGTCAAACACCTTACAGAACCCTAAATATATGACACCGACACTATATCAACCACACCTGTCATCTCATCCAAAGAAAATCTCAAATTAGCTTGTGTCATGACCAGCATGTGAGTAGTCTGAGGTAACAGTTGCAATTGAGGCAGGGCCAGGCTAGGTGTATACCAGGAGATCATAGTTTGAGACAGGCCAGATAGCAGGTAGAGAATCAGGTGTCACAAGGCAGGCAGGGTCATGTTATCAGTATATCAACCACACCTGTCATCTCATCCAAAGAAAATCTCAAATTAGCTTGTGTCATGACCAGCATGTGAGTAGTCTGAGGTAACAGTTGCAATTGAGGCAGGGCCAGGCTAGGTGTATACCAGGAGATCATAGTTTGAGACAGGCCAGATAGCAGGTAGAGAATCAGGTGTCACAAGGCAGGCAGGGTCATGTTATCAGGAGACTAGAGTCAGATAGTAGGAGGCAGTAACACAGGGGAATGGGCATCTTCAGCAG